CCCAAGTAGCTGGGACCAAGGGCGCCTGCCACAACGCCCGGCTATTTTTTTTGGTTGCAGTCATCATTGTTGTTTTGGCAGGCCCAGGCTGTATTTGAACCCGCCACCTTAGGTGTACGTGGCTGGCACCTTAACCACTTGAGCCACAGGTGCTGAGCCAGCTAAACATCTTTTAATTCATTTTATCTTAGGGTTAAAATGTACTAAGTGGGATTTTTTGTGTGTGTGTCCTTAGAATTGGCACCTAATGTCAAAAACTAGGACCAAAGAAGGTTTGATGTCCTCACCAAAAATGGGGTGCACACACTTCTTTCAGAACATACTACTTGGCATGGAACTTACCAGTCCTGCAAGCCCAAACTTCACCTAGACTGTCACCTTCTCATTCACAATTGGGAGTTGTCATCCTGGTAGAAAACTGAGTGACTTTGCCATGCTATCTTTCCCAAGCAAGGGGGCAAGATTGGGGGCGTGGAGAGGAGGTGATTGTCTTTACCCCTAAATCAAGAGTGCAAATCCAAAGATGTGGAATTGTCTGTTAGTATCTCATTCCCTGCTAAATTTTCACTGAGCTGTTAGCTCACCTTGGTGCTGCCATCAAAGTGGAAGAGGCCATGAGAAACGTGTGTTCCCCAAAGTTCGGGAAATATGCATAAATTATGTATTGTTGGAAAGAGAGAGAGAAAGAGAAATACAGATACACATGCACCCACTGCCTAATTTATTGTTTTTAAACTTAAGAACGTATAATTTCATTGCTTCTAAAATGTCCTCCCACTTCCACGTAAAAAGTCCAAAGTGTTATTTATGTTATTCTACTGAAGAATACTTAAATCTAGTTTGTTTTTTTTGAGACAGAGTCTCACTATGTTGCCCTTGGTAGTGTGCCGTGGTGTCACAGCCCCCATCAACCTCCAACTCTTGGGCTTAAGCAATTCTCTTGCCTCAGCCTCTCAAGTAACTGGGACTACAGGTGCCCGCCACAATACCTGGCTATTTTTTTGTTGTCCTTGTTATTGTTGTTTGGCGGGCCCAACCTGGGTTTGAATCTGCCAGCCCTGGTATATGTGGCTAGCACCCTAGCCGCTGAACTATAGGTACTGAGCCTTAAATCTAGTTTTATAATGCTACTTTTTGAGTGGTATGTGTAGTAGTTATTTTTTAAGTGATGAAATACATGCTTATTTTGAAAAGGTAAAGCCAGTAACTATTTGTCTAAAATTTAGGGGGGGTGAAAGATAAGCTGAGGTACTTCCTGAGCACATTGAAAATGAAGATGTTCAAAAAATTTTTTTAAACTTTATTTTATTTCATTTTTTGCCATTTTTGGCCTGGGCTGGGTTTGAACCCGCTACCTCCGGCATATGGGGCTGGCACCCTACTCCTTTGAGCCATCGGTGCCACCCAAGATGTTTAAATTTTTTTTTCTTTCCTTTTTTTTTTTTTTTTTTTTTTGA